TTCCCTTCCTAGGAGACTTGATACTATCTCACAGTTTTCATTAGCTTTGAAAAGTTTTGTGTGTGTGTGTGTGTGTGTGTGTGTGTGTGTGTGAATTTTATATTGCATAATTTGGCTGATAAAATCAGTTTAAATTCTTCTATTTTGTATTTTTAGAAGTTTTTAATTTCTCTTCTGTGAAGTACTTTTGTACTCTTATCACTGATTATATAAACACTATGATCGTGTTTTTCTTTTAGTATGTGAACTACTTAAAGTTATTGATTGAATGCTCTTATTGGCTAACTGCAGCTCAGGTTTGGTTGGTTTATATTCATTATTATCATTTTCCAGCATGTGTCCTATGTTTTTGTATTTGTTATGTTTTATGAATTTTCTTTTACATGTGATTTGTAATATTTCTCTAGAACAAAGATTCCCAAACTAATTTGGCCTCTCACTCCCTTTTCATAATAAAAATTACTGAGGGCCTTCCAGCCCCAGGTGTCCCTGAGGTTATTATTGTCCCCATTCTTCTAGTACTCCATTGTGGGCCCCCAAGATACTCCAATTGATTATGGGAGGGTCACTGAATGAGACTAGAGGGCCTAACTAGTTGGGGGGAACAGGAATAGAATCACAGTCTGGGGAAGGTTGAATAGCTCTGCCCTGGAGAATACTGGGTTTTGTTCACATCAGAATAAAATGATTGGCAAATTACCTTAGTCCTGAGCAGGCTTCACTATATATGCTGTTTTCAAGGTGCTTTCAGGTCTGTCCTTCAGCCTAGAGAAAATCCTTAGCCCTACTATGGACAAGGGTTGTAGGTCTATAATGGGAAGACTCGGGTGTTAATCAAAACTCCTCCGTTATGTGGGATTCAAACTTGCTCATCTTAGATTTCAAGCCATTCAGATCTCTGCCATATACTAATATAGTCTTCCAGGACATCTGGGATTAAGAGGTTTTTCTAGGATACGGGACTTCACACTAAAACCAGGAAAGTTTCAGCCAACCAAGTAGGGCAAAGTTGATTATACTTTGAAGGATTGTCATGGAAAAGCCATGTGATCTTATATCTTTTCTAATTCAGGTTCCTCTTTCAGTGGTCAAATAATCATTTTGTGCCTTATCTTCTGGTTTGCTAATCTACTTCAATATTACCGGAACTAAGTAATATATTTTAATTTCTTCAGTAATGTAATGGGCTGGAGCGATAGCACAGCGGGTAGGGCATTTGCCTTGCACACAGCCAACATGGCCAACCCGAGTTCGATTCCTCCGGCCCTCTCGAAGAGCTCAGCAAGCTACCGAGAGTATCTCGCCTGCACGGCAAAGCCTGGCAAGCTCCCCGTGGCGTATTTGATATGCCAAACACAGTAACAACAAGTCTGAAAATGGAGACGTTACTGGGCCCACTCGAGCAACTTGATGAACAACGGGAGAAAAGTGACAGTAATGTAATGGGTGGGAGCGGTTATCATCCTCTGGGTGTCTTACAATTTCACTCAACTCTGAAACCCTGTGCCAGGAAATAGCATCATTCCACAGGTAAAATACTTAATCCTATATACCTGCCCCTCCTGCCTCAACTTCAGGCTCTGCTCAAAGCCAGGGAACTCAATCACCTGTACTTCTGACCCAATGGTCATAAATCACAGGCTGCCAAGATCCTCTCCTCAGGTCCCATTAAGTGCCAGAGCACTTCACAGAACTCAGAGAAACATTTGCTTGCTTAACTACTTGTCAATCTGAAAGGATGTAACTTATGGACAGGCAGATGGATGAGATGCATAGAGAAAATAGGTGGGAGGGCTAAGAGCTTCAATACCTCTCCATAAGCCCCACTCTATAAATCTCCACATAGTCAGCACTCAGAGACCTCCTAAACTTGGGGCTGGAGTGATAGATAGTACAAAGGATAGGGCATTTGCCTTGTACACGGCCAACCCAGGTTTGATCCCCGGCATCCCATAGGGTCCCTCAAGCACTGCCAGGAATAATTCCTGAGTGCAGAGCCAGGAGTAACCCCTGAGCATCACTGGGTGTGACCCAAAAAGAAAAAAAAGGCAATCTCCTAAACTGGTTCTTAAAAAAATAAATAATAAAATAACTTATGGAGACTTCATTAGATAGGCAAAATTGATTCAGTCATTGACAATTGATTAAGCCTTGACCCCTTCTCCTCTCCTGGAGGTGGGGCATTAAGACTAAAAGTTCTACTCTCTATCACATGGAGGTTTCTTCGGGAAACCAGCCCCCCCATCCTTAGGGATGATTAAAAAGTCATCGTTAACCTAACAAAAAGAGACCTAGTTCATTCTCACCAGTTGTAAAACTCCAGGGGTTGAAGCCATAGATAAAATGCAAATATGAATCACAGGTAAAAATTGCATTGGCCCAACTTTGATCTCATAATTTACTGCTGGGTTTAGTAACTATAATAACACTCATAGAAATAATAATAACACTGTGTCAAATTAAAAGTAAAAATGAGCTTTTTTCAGAATAAATTAACTTGTAAAATATTTCTCTAGTACACTAATGGTGGGGATTTTTTTGTCTGAGAGAGAGTAGGTGGTAATGTTCTTTTTATTTTAACTATTTTAAAAGCAAAATATATGTGCATATATTATTTATAATGAACATATTTCTTGTTTATCCAATGATGGTTATAGTTATTTATAAACCATGTTGTGTAGTTTTATTTTATATTACAAACATCTTTTTAAATGGGTAAGATAAAAGGCAAAAGGCAATGTTTAAAAGGTACTATAGATCAGGTGTCTCATAAAAATACCAATGAACTGAATGTGTTTACAAAATCTTAGAAAGTATATTAAAGTGCTTTTTTTCCCGAGACCAGTTATTAGAGAAAAAAAATCATAGAGCATGCTGAAGTCTGATCAGGAATAGCAGTTAAAAATGCACCAGATACAAACACAGTTAAATTTATTCTTGGGGTTTTCTCTATACCCTGGAAGGTGTTCTGTTATTGAAACGGATCCATTTGGTTCATTGATAAGCGATCACCATATGAGTTGCTTAGGATGACAGAATTCATACTAAATTCTATACTTTTAACATGCTTGTCAGAAAACAAATTCATTTACAAAACTTACATTATAAAATTGGAAATGTTCTGTGTGGTAGGAGGTAACTGTCAACAGGGATTTTTTTTTCATTAAAGGCCTCCCGTGATTTTTTTTTTCATTAAAGGCCTCCCGTTGATCGTCGATTTGCTCGAGCGTGGCCCAGTAACGTCTCCATTGGAGACTTTGTTGTTACTGTTTCTGGCATATCGAATACTCTCGGTAGCTTGCCGGGCTCTCCGAGAGGGGCGGAGGAATTGAACTCGGGTCTGCCATGTTGGCCGCTTGTAAGGCGAACGCCCTACCCGCTGTGCTATCGCTCCGATGATAGGACATAATTGCAACTTGATGACCTGCGTATTTGATTTGGCCCAGCCTGCAGTATAACTCAGTAGAAAGAAGGCATTTGGGTGCTGCAGGTGAATATTGTCTTCATTTTTTACCCAGCTGCTGTGAATTAACTGCCAAGGTAGGATTCTATAGGCATTGGGGTCCCCAGGTCATTCTGTTAGGCCATTTTAGGTTTCTGCTTCATTCATTGTCAGATATATTTCCGCTGCTTGAGTCATGAGCAGAACAGAGCATAACTCTGCTTCCCTTGGTATATTTTAGGGCGAGGGCCAGTGGACCCACTCTCTGTTCTCTGCCTGCGCCCTCCCCTGTCCCTCATGTTTCAGAAAGGGGTCTCACTGACCATCTTTATTTGAAACTCTTCATGAACCATTTTGCTGGGGTCTCCTAAATCTGTAGGAACCATAAAACACTCGCCTGTTTTCCTCTCTAAGAGTGAGTGAGTTTCCTCTGTGTCAGAATAACCTGCTGGGCACAGAGGGACCCTGCCCAGGCCTCGGTCTCCATGGTAACATCCTAGGCACCAGGGCTGCTTGCTAAGCCTACTCCTCCACCCTAGACATGTCAGAACTGTCACTAATTCAAACCACAATCACCACATCAAATCACTCCCCACACAGCAAGGAGAAAACATTTTATTTTAAATTGTGAAATGTCCTTTTTTTTTTTACCCCTTCTTCTTGCCCAAACCTCCTCCCTTTAGAAAAGCTTCCTTTAGGATGTGTTGTATTTTCTTTAATCAGACTATCTCCATGTGACTATATTGTTCAGCTATCCAGTTGGTGTGTCTTTACATTTTGCTGGCGGCAAAAAAGCCAAAGTGGGTAAAGTAAACCCCTGGAAGCAGAGCAGTTCTGGGGGGGGGGGGGGGAGTCTTGAATTCTATTCCTGGTTTGTCACTTCATTCAAATGGAAAATCCACCAGCTCCTCTCCCTCCCTCTTCCATGTAAACCAGGATTTCTAGACTGCACTGTTTTACATAAGAATTCTTGGCAGATCTGGGCAGACAAACACTCAGGGTTCGGTGACACAGTTTATAGTCTTCCCTAAAGCAACTCCTTCCCAGGGAAAGCCAAGTCACTGCATACTTGCTTGCTGTGAAGGGTTAAAAAAGAAAGAGAGGGGAAAAAAAAGACCAAAAAAAAAAACCCCAAAAAACCCCAAGAAAGCCCGCGAGGTACCACGCATGTGTTAATCCACGCTGCATTGACTTCCACTTTGACCCCCTTCTAGTTAAGTGCGTGAGGCTTAATCACGCACAGATGCTAGCACAGTTCCCCCCTTCATTTCTTCTTGAACACGTTGACAACGCGCGCCCTGCCTTCCTGCCCCGACCCCTTCCAAAAAAAATAAAACAATAATAGTAACACAAAAACAAATAAATAAATAAATAAAACACACAAAAAGCCAACCAACCTAAAAGCACAGCCCTGGGAGGGGGAGGGGGAGCGCGTGTGCGTGCGGGGGGCAGGAGTACGAGTGCCGGTGTGCGTGCGTCTCGCGCGCGCTCCTCTGCCTCCCCCCGCCCCCGCCTCATTTCTTTTATATTCCACCCCCCACCCCTCCCTCTTCCCCGCACTTGGAATCCGCTCCCCGCGCTGACGCTTTGACGGTATCTGCAAGCGTTTGTGCTGATCTTATTCCTGCCAACCTCCCCCCCCCTCCCCACACCATCCTCTCCCGATATTAATTGCCCCCCGAAGCGGGTAAAACGATGCATCTCCCCAGTGACGGGACCTCCTAGAGGCAAGTGGGGGTTGGGGAGGAGGAGGAGGAGGAGGAAGAAGAAGAGAGAAGGAGGAGGAGGAGGAGGAGGAGGAGGAGGAGGAGGAGGAGGGGGAGCCAGCATCTGAGCATAAGCATAATCCTAATAATTCAGAAGGGGAGGGATTCTTCGGCAGCCCCGGAGGAGGCAGGAGGCCAGGGGACCACAGAGAGAGGGAAGAAGGGAAAAAAAAAATTAAAAAAAAAAAGCGATGAGTTGGCCAGATCTATGGAGCCCGGGCCACTGGGCTCCCGTGTCTGCTCGGAAGATGACGGCGTGGCCCTTGCTCCTGCTGGCGCTCTACGCCGGGTAAGTGGTGGCCCTCGTCGGCCTCGTTTTTGCTCCGGAGGTGGGGGCCGGGGGGTGGGGGTAGAGGACGAGGAGGTGCCCATCTCGGGGACCACCTAGAATTTTTTTCTTTTTAAAGACCCGTCCAGATGCTCCAAGGGAATGTGAATATCGGGGAGTGGGGGGAAGGGAGGGAAAAGGAAGGTGACTATTGTTGATGTCTCAACATTTTTGTGTTGCACAAATTTGCTTTTTCCCCCCCTTTTTAAAAAAGTGTTTGCGCTTGTGTGTGTGTGTGTGTGTGTGCGCGTGCGTGTGTGTATGTGTGTGCGCGCGCGCGCGTGTGTGTGTGTGTGTGTGTGTGTGTGTGTGGAATCCAACCTCCTAGGTAGTAACATTTTGAGATTGCTGCCGGGTCGAAGGCAGCTGCGGCGGCGTTTGAGGCCATGTTGGAGGCGTTTTTTTGGTTTTTTTTTTTTTTTTTTGGTGGGGGGTCTGGAAGAGGGAAGGGCACGTTTGCAAGGGGGTTGTGACTGCGGAGGGGGGCGTCGCGGCTCGCCCCCCTGGGAGGGTCGGGGCTTGGGGGAGGGGGGAGGGGCTCCGTTCCCGAAGGCCAGGGTACTGCTTGCACCTGGAATTCTCCAGCTCTGCCTCCCCCAGGTTTGCTCTCCAGCCCCCCTCCAATTCCCTGGCGGGCAAGCAGGGTTCAGCACCAGGGACAGCGACCCCCGTTTAAGGAAGGGGCCCGGTGCACCGAGACTTGCCTAACTGGATCTAGGGCGCATCTGCATCCTCGCCTGGCATCTGTGTTGCTCACACAGAAGGCCCTGGGAGCCCGGGAGCGCGGACAAGGAGGACCCCCGCGCTGATAAGCCCCAGCTGCTCCCCTCCCCGGGGTGGCCGCGGGACCCTGGTCCGGGAGTGGAAAGGGGAGTAGATGCACTCTTGCAGGAATGTGTGTCTGGCCCAAGAGTTGGCCTTGCTGCAGTGTTGGAGCACCGGCGGATTCTGATGCCAGGGTTGGGAAGCGGGCACAAAAGCCTTAGCACCTTGCTGCACTTGGTGGAAAAGATGGCAAGGGGCGAGATGGATTCCCTGCCCACACCCCCAACCCTAAACCCTAAGTTAGGAGCGTGTGGGTCTGTTCCCCTCTCTGAGGTGCTTTGCCCATACATTTTCTTGAACTTAACTTTTTTTTTCTTTCCAAGAGTATCAGGGGAGCTCCCTTCCACAACTGAGTTAGCCATTCAGCTCCCTGTGAAAACAGCAGCTCCCCCTGAAGCCCCCCACATCCTAAGGATTTTCAGTCAAGTCAGAGACAGCTTAGGGGTTCCCTATTTCCATCACTGGCATCTTTCATGCTGTCGTTCTGAAATAAAAGTCTCTAAGAGTCACTCAGATGCCCCAAGGGAAAAAAAAGAAATAAAACTAGCTGTAGGTTACAACCCAAGGTTTTTCATGGTAGATGACCTTGTGCAGTGGTTATAACAAAGGGGAGAGGGTTAAGAAATTGCTTACTTTTATTGGGACTATCTAGTGAACTATTTTCTAGGAAATCTAGATGATGATTTCTGATAAAAAAAGAAGGCACATCAGGAAGTGAAAAAGCATTTCTTCTCTTTGGAGTTGCTAAGTAGATTTTTTGCTCTATTTTTCTTCTAGCCCTTTTCATACCTTCTAGCTTTGCTATCAAGATTGAACTGAAAGTTCATTCAGAGTCATAAACTAAGTAGCTTTCCTGAGGCCTCTCACTGAGAATGAATTATATCAAAATACTTTAGTATTATCCTGAAATACAAATTTTAAATTAAAGCTTGCACAGATTTTTGTATTCGATGTTTTATATATGGTTGCCCCCTCCCCTGAAATCTGATAGTCACATGCAGAATGCTTTGATATTTATACTAGTTATGAAACCTGTGGATTAAGCACTAAACAGGGCATAGGCAAGTGTATCTTTCCTGCTATTCATCTTTGTAAACATTTTTATAGCTAACTAAAGATATTTTGTGTATTTTATTTCCAGTAGGCATTTTTTAACCAAAAATGTATAATTTTCAGCAGTATCAGATTTAAGATTTCTTGATTGCAGCAGACCCTGTGATTTTACAATGTCCAATAAGCAAACTTTTAGCAATCTATTTAATCTTTATTTCTTAGCATAGTAGTCGAGATGAATATCTTTTGCTTTTAATAATAGAAGTTACAAGTCAACAGTATATCTACAGGAGAACTTTCACATTTTTTTCAATAATGGTACTGTATGGAGTTACTGAAGACTATCTTCAGAATTGCAGTTTAATGCAAACCCATGAAGAAAAACTCCATGGTTTAAATGACTGGTCATCTCTAAAGATGACCCTAAAAATGTGGGTTCCTAGAGGCCAGTAAGAAACAGCCTTTTTTTGTGGTAGAAACACCGAGGAAGTTGAGGGAAATTTAAAAAAATTAATTGACCATTTATTTGCATAGCTCCAAAGAATAAATTCCACCCCATCAGTATTTGAGTCAATTGACTTGTTTGTATCTACACAAAACTAAAATATGAAATCAAAAACATTATTTTAAGAATATTAATATATCAATAACATTTTTCTTATGGAAAATTATTAATTTTTGAAACTCAATTATTCCACAGATCTTATATACAGTTTCATAAGAATCAGTCAGGGAACATGGTTAGAGAGGAGTTTCCTGAACTGAATTTCCATCATGAAACTGTTCTAAGTCATTGTGTCTGAGGGGAGTTCAGGAGCATTTATTTATTAAAAATACATTGAAGCAAAGGATTATATGCTAAACTGATTTACAAAGTTTATTCATTATCTTATGTAATATTTAAGTGTTTTTTAATTATTGTTACATTCAGCAGAGCATGAATTTGTATCACGTGCCAACATTTCCATTTTCACATAAATCTTTGAGTATATTAACCATGATGAATGACAAATAGCTATAAGGAATCCTCATAAACACATCTAATGTATGAGAAAACACCAGCTAAAAATGTAAAACGTGTATGTGATTGCACATAAATATATGATATAGGATTGTATTCACAGACTATACACTTCATATACCTATGTTCATATTCAGGTTTATCAACAGGTTTCATAATTTTGTCAATCCTTTTAATATAACTGCATTCCATCTCTGGGGAAATTTACTAGAAAAGCAAAATTGGGATACAACAATACAGCAGAAAATTATTTAGAGTAAATAGAGTCAATGCTAGAAATTATGATTTTTTTTACTTCTATTAGAATAAGCAAGGCCTTATACAGTGGTAGGGCATTTTTAAAACATGGTTTGAGTACAAGATGACTTTGAATTTTCATAATATTTGAAAAATTTAAAAAAATTTCAAACTCTGTGAAGTGCTGGCAGTGAAGTTCTATTTGTTTTTTCCAAGAAGTTGTTTTTAATGTCTATGCCAAATAATTTACTCATAAGACAAAATTGTCTTGGGCTGTTTTTAGTAGTACAGAGTAAAAGAATTGAAGTGTACTGAGATATATCAAATATTTTAAATTCTAAAATCAAGCATCTGCATGGAATTGATTAGACATTTTTCTTAATTATTTCTTTCTAAATGCTTTAAACAGCTTTACAATTGAGCAAATTAAGTTTAAAAATATAGTATGACTGAGCAGTCATCATTCACTTCTGCAGCATCAAACTCTATGAACACACTTCAGTGCATGAGTGAATATTCTGCTTCAGCCAGTCTTAGTTTGAGTGAACACACCTTGAAATGAATTTTTTTTACCAAAATAAAAAGAGTTAACAATTTGAAAGAATTTTCTATCACCTGATCAAAGATTCTTCAGGTTACTTATTATATTTTTTTGAGTTTCCAAACTTTTTTTATCCCATAATGGTTTCATAGTTTTAAAATTTGTTTAAAGGCAAGAGATAGAAATAACATAATATAATATGTATGTAAAGATATAGATATGTAGTGAGAAATACATTTCCATATATAATGAGTTTATATATGGAAACCCATATGTTATTTATGGAAGTATATATAAAAATACATTAACATATACACTTGATTATCATATTTGATTATATTTTCAATGTTACTAATTATCTTCTGATTTTTTAACCCATCAGTTTGATCCCATCAATACTATTTTCTCATAACTTAGCAATTAGTCTTGGGGTACTTATCAGGTTTGGTTTTTATAGTTGAGTCTATTTTCAGACACTAGAATCTAGAACTGATAACCTATATCAGTCTATAAAATATTAAATCTATATAGTAGCATGATTTGACAGTCTCAGTCTTAATCACAACATTCTTAGATTTATCTTACCAATTAGCTTGAAAGCCCTAGACAAAAATTGTAGACATAATTCACTATTCAGTGATCTTATGTGCTTAAGAATCATACTACGTATGATAATTCACTTGCCTTACATATAGCCAGCCCCATGTGGAATCCCAGCACTGCATATGTTCCCCTGAGCCCTGCAGGGAGTGATCCCTGAGCACAGCCAGGTGTGTCCCCCAAATACCAAGTAACATCATTTAGATTCTGCACCAAAATTAACTCAGAAAATACATTTTCCTGAAGATTGTGTCTGTGTGAGTGTAAATTTACAGCTCACTTGTTACCCAGAAACTCAACTGCTACTTGTCTCTCTTTTTAAAAAGAGATCTTGGCTCCTGTTGAACAAATATTAGAGATAACTGGCCCAACAATATCTTTTAATTCTACATTTTTCAACAAAATTTTTAGGATAGTAAAAGGTAATTTTCAGGCAGGCTTTAAGAATGACCTTTTCAATCACCTCAACTTTATAAGCAATTGTAATTTCCACATAGGACAGTATCAGAATACTTGCATCTTAATTTCTAACGAAAAAGAAGTTATAATTTTTAGAAATTGGAGCTTAAATCTTTTGCAAATACTTTACCCAGACATTCATATTCTCTATCATCATGAGTTTGATGAGATAGGTAATATAATAACCTTAGTATAGTTGTAAAAACTGAGTATGGAAAGGTGTAG